ACAGCTCACTGCAGCCTCTGCTTTCTGGGCTAAAGCGATCCTCTCACCTCAGTCTCCCAAGGAGCTGGGACCACAGGTGTACCACCACACCTGGCTGATTTTTGCATTCTTTGTAGAGATGGGGTTTTGCCATGTTACCCAGGCTGGTCTCAAACTCCTGGACTCAAGTACTCCTCCTGCCTCAGCCTCCCAAACTGCTGAGATTGTAGGTGTTGGCCACTGCACCCAGCCCCAGTAGGCTTTTTTAAAAAAGTACTTTAAAGATGTCTCTCCAAGCCAAGCACAGTGGCCCACACCTGTAATCCCGGCACTTTGGGAGCCCGAGGCAGGCAGATCACGAGGTCAGGAGTGTGAGACCAGCCTGGCCAACATAGTGAAGCCTCTTCTCTACTAAAAATACAAAAATATTAACCAGGTGTGGTGGCATGCACCTGTTATCTCACCTACTCGGGAGGCTGAGGCAGGAGAATTGCTTGAACCTAGGAGGCGGAAGTTGCAGTGAGCCAAGATCACACCACTGCACTCCAGCCTGGGCAAGAATGACTGTCTCAGACCAAAATAAATAAATAAATAAATAAATAAATAATAAAGAGGTCTCTCCATTGTCCTTTGATTTGCTAAGTTTCTGATGAGAAGTCTGCTGTCATTCTTGTCTCTGTTACTCTGTACATGACGTGTATTTTTTCTCTGCCTGCTTTCAAGATTTTCTCTTTATTATTGGTTGCCAACAATGTGATGATGATGTGTCTTGGTGTGGTTACCTTTATAGTTATTCTCCTTGAGATTCTTAAATATGTGGGCTTACAGTTTCCATCAAATTTGGAAATTTTCTGGTCATTATTTTTTACAATCTTTTTTCTGTTCTCCCCTTTCCCTCTTTTCTGGGGCTCCAATTACATATATGTCAGACTGTTTCTATCTCTAACAATTGTCCTTGTTATGGTCATTGATGCTCTTATCAATTTTTCCATTTTTCTTTCTGTTCTTATTTTGGACAGTTTCTATTGCTGTCTTGAAGTTCACTGATGTGCAACGCCTCAACTATTGTTAATGCCACCATTGTACCTTAAAATTTATTTCAAACTCGAGATGTTCTGTTGGGTCTTTTAAAAATATACCTTCTAATTCTCTTCCCATTATGTTAACCATTTCCTCTACTTTTTTGAACCAAGAACATATTTGTAACTGCTGTTTTCATGTCTTTGTTAATTCCATCATCTCTGTCATTTCTGGATCTAGTTGATTTTTCTCCTGATTATGTCATATTTTCCTGGTTTTTTGCATGCCTGGTCATTTTATTGAATGCCTAACATTGTGAGTTTTGTGTTTTAGATTTTGTGTGTTTCCTTAAATAGCACTGGACTTACTTACACACAGGTAAGATTCTTTAAATCGGCTGGATCT